TCAGCACAGAGCCCGACGCGGGGCTCGAACCCACTAACCGCGAGATCATGACCTAAGCGAAAGTCGGATGCTTAACCGACTAAGCCACCCAGGCGCCCCAGGTCTGTTCTACTTTTTATTTTTGGATTCTATATTGATTATTTCTTCTCTAATCTTTATTATTTCACTTCTTCTCCTGGCTTTAGTGCTTCTTTGCTGTTCTGTTTCTCATTCCTTTAGGTGTGCTGTTAGATTTTGTATTTGGACTTTTTTTGCTTCTTGATGCAGGCCTGGATTGCAATGTATTTTCCTTTTATGACTGCCTTTGCTGCATCCCAAAGGGTTTGGACTGTTGTGTTTTCATTTTCATTTGCTTCCATATATTTTTTAATTTCTTCTTTAATTGCCTGGTTTACCCATTCATTCTTTAGTAGGATGTTCTTCAACCTCCATGCATTTGGAGGCTTTCCAAATTTTTTCTTGTGATTGATTTCAAGTTTGATAGCATTGTGATCAGAAAATATGCATGGTATGATCTCAATTCTTTTATATTTATTGAGGGTCTTGTGACCCAGTATGTGATCTATCTTGGAGAATGTTCCATGTGCACTCAAAAAGAATGTGTATTCTGTTTCTTTTAGATGAAAAATTCTGAATATATCTTTCAAGTCAATCTGGTCAAGTGTATCTTTCAAGGCTGTTGTTTCTTTATTGATTTTTTGCCCAGATGATCTGTCCATTGATGAAAGTGGAGTATTAAAGTCCACTACAATTACAGTATTAAGTAATTGATTGCTTATATTTGTGATTAATTGATTTATGTATTTGGATGCTTTCAAGTTGGGAGCAAAAATATTTATAATTGTTTACTCTTCTTGATGGATAGAGCCCATAATTATGATATAATGCTCTTCTTCATCTCTTGTTACAGCCTTTAGTTTAAAATCTAATTTGTCTCGGGGCGCCTGGGTGGCTCAGTCGGTTAAGTGTCTGACTTCGGCGCAGGTCATGATCTCACGGTTCGTGGGTTCGAGCCCCACATTGGGCTCTGTGCTGACTGCCAACTCAGAGCCTGGAGTTGTTTTGGATTCTGTGTCTCCCTCTCTCTCCCTGACCCACCCGTGCTCACTCTGTCTTTCTCTGTCTCTCAGAAATAAAACAATTTTTAAAAATTAACAAATAAAATAAAAATAAAATCTAATTTGTCTGATTTAAGTATGGCTACTCCAGCTTTCTTATGACTTCCATAGCATGACTATTATCAAAAAGTCAAAAGATAACAAGTGTTGGTGAGGATGTAGAAAGAAAAGGAGCCCTTGTACACTTTTGGTAGGAATGTAACACAGTATAATCACTAGGAAAATAGTATGGAGGTCCCTAAAAAAAACTAAAAAATAGAACTATCATGTGACCCAGCAAATCCAACTCCTGAATATATATCCAAACAAAATAAAAATCACTATCTCAAAAAGTTATCTGCACTCCCATGTCCATTACAACACTATTAACAATAGACAAGCTGTGGAAGCAACCTAGGCTCATTGACACAAGTGGATAAATACACACATACACACACACACACACACACACACACACACACACACAGAGGAATATTAGTTATTCAGCCTTTAAAGAGAAGTAAATCCTGCCATTTGTGATAACACAGATGAACCAGGGCAGTGGGGGGCAGAGGGGGAGGGAGATGCATTATGCTAGGTGAAATAAACCAGACACAGAAAGACAAATACTCTGTGATTTCATTTATATACAGAATCTAAAAAATTAAATAACAGAGTGCCAGAGAATAGAATGGCTGTTACTAAGGGCTGGGATCTCAAATAAAGGGGAGATGTTTGTGAAAGAGTACAAGTTTTTAGTTACTAGATGAATAAGTTCTATAGAACTATGTACAGCATGATGACTACAGTTAATGTATATTTAGGAGCACCTGGGTGGCTCAGTCAGGTAAGCAACTGACTTCGGCTCAGGTCATAATCTCACAGTTTGTGAATTCAAGCCCCACATCAGGCTCTGTGCTGACAGCTCAGAGTCTGGAGCCTGCTTCAGATTCTGTGTCTTCCTCTCTTTCTACTCATCCCCTGCTCGTGCTCTGGCTCTCTCTCTCAAAAATAAATAACATCATTTTAAAAAATTTAATAATAATAATATATATTTGAAATTTGCTGAGAATAGATATCCAGTGTTCTCACATAAAAAGGAGGGGGTTAACTATGTGAAGTGATGGATATGTTACTTAATTGAGGTAATCATTTCACAATATATATAAAACACCATATTGTACAACCTAATATGTATACTTTTTATTTGTCATCATACCTTAATACAGTTGGGAAAAAAGAAAAAAATCCCTGTCCACTAACTGTTAAAATATAAACACCTTTTATTTTGATACCTACTAATGTGATGCGAAACTAGCTCAAAACAACCTTATACTACTTTCTTTTATATTAACTAAGGAGAGGAAGTTTTGTGTATGCCTAAAAGAGCTGTACTTGAAACTAAGTGTTCAAGTTTTTTTTCTTTAAGTCCTAGTTCAGGTATAGAAGGAGCCTAATGCTATAAAATCAGGAAGGAGTTCATCATGTGTTAAGTCATATTCAGCTTTCATTCAATTAATTGGTAAAATTGGCTCATCCTCCACAAACTGTCTGGTCCTGTGAGACGGAAGGAACCCCAAGAGGTGTCCAGTCAGGTCAGTTTTCTCCTCAAATAACATGATTTTATCATGGACCATCTAAAAGGAGTAGATGCAATGCCTTCCACTCATGCAGAATTTCATTTGAATACAAGGGAGTTATAAAATCATTTTATTATATAAATTACTTCTGAGTTTCAGCCCCTTTGGTTTTTAACCTGTCCTTTAAATCTATCTAAATTGATTGAGGTAATCATTTCACAATATATAGAAAACATCATATCGTACAACCTAATATATACACTGTCAGCGCAGAGCCCAATGAGGGACTCAAACCCGCAAAATGTGAGATCATGACCTGAGCCGAACTCAGACACTTAACTAACTGGATCATCCAGGTGCCCCCAGTCCCTTTGATATATTTAAATGACAGGAACAATAGCATTATATTTTATTGAATAGATGTATGTTTATTTATTTATTTGTTTTTTGTTATTAAGTAGAGAGAGAAAAACCATGTTCATTCAGATTTTAGAAGGACAGGCAAGAGAGACCCACCAATTTGGAAGTGTAGTGATTAAGAGCAGGGATACTGGAGCAGAAGCTATGTGGATTTGCAACCACGCTCTACCACTTACCACCTCTGTGTCTCTAGACTAGTTAGTTTATCTTTCTGAGCATCAGGTACATCCCCTATAAAGAAGAAGAATAATATTACCTACCTGATTGCTGTGAGAATTAAATGAATTGGTATACACAACTTGAGGTAGTACCTGACACATAAATGTTCAACAAATGTTGGTAATAGTGGAGGTGATGATGGTTGGACAAAAACAATGAATGGGCTTTAAAAAGCCAATAAGAATGCTGTTGGATGAGAAAGGAGCTATGACAGTTTCTACCAGGCTTGAAAATGGCACAGTAATAATAAAGCTGTACTGAATTTTATTTGGAGTGAATGCACATCTAAGTTTCCATTTGTCAAATATAAAGGCAAGAATCACATAATATTTATAGAACTGATATCCAGAGGAGCACTCTATGAGGTCACCGGGAGAAAGAGAAGTATAAACAAAGCTTATCAAGCAGAAGAGGAAAAAAGGAACAGTTTTATACATACAACAATCATCAACCAAAGGCTTATTTTGCTAAAAAGAAATACCTCTCACTTGGTTAAGCTAATGTCTTAGCCTGTAATTGTCCTAATAAAAAAATATTTTACAAATGAATGACAATTTTAAATAAGTCCAAGATAACATCAGAAGAAAAATGAATATAGAAGAATGAAATCCCTTCCTAAATGAAGTCTGAAGCCTGAATATAATACTGTATGTTAACTAACTGGAATTAAAATAACTTTTTAAAAAATAGGTAAACAAAAAAAAAAGAAGTTTGAAATCTGTTAGTGGCTTAAGAAGATAGATTCATCACAAAGGTCTACCAAAAATTGCTAAATTACTGGAATATGAGTATACATGTGGAATTTTTAAAGACTCTTTAAAATAAGTAGGCATTAATGTAACTTTTTCATAGTTTATGTTTATTATCTTGACCTTGGTAATAACTTCACAGTATATATGTATATGATATTATCACATTGTACACTTTAAATATATACAATTCTATTTGACAATTATTCCTCAATAAAGTTGGGAGGGAAAGTGTGGAGATTTGATTCTCGGCATGGATCTATCATTTATTCTTAACAAAGGTTGGAACAAATCATCTCAAATTCTAGTTCTAAAGTTTCATAATTCCATATATAATCAACAGCTCTAGGTAACCAAAGGAATGGAGCAATAGGAAGCAGATATCTTAGAGGAAAAAAATCAAACCAACTGGTATTATGGCAGTTTGGTAGGTAGTTTCAGTAAAAGACATTAACCAGTTCAAAGCAAGGAAAGTATCACAGTGAAAATAAACAACATGTTAACTTCCAACACTAAGTATTTGAACACATTCTTTGTTTGGCACCTTTTGAGGGGTAAGACTATTGAAAGTGGTGGATTAAGGTGATAGCTTTGGTTTGAGACATTTTCCACAGTAATTAAAGAAGAATGAACAGGAAGAGTTTAATTTATACCCCCCCACCATTACTACAAAAAAAGTCAAGATAAAAATATTCACTACATAGTTTTCATAAATATTAAATAATTTCTATAAAGCATCCAGCACAGGGCCTGAAATACAGAAATGCCACTGTTAGCTCCCTTAATCATTATTAATTAGGGTACTAGAGATACACAATGACATGGTAAATGCCTAAATGTAACCTAGTACATAAAATTTATAGAGAGCTAAAATTTCAATTTTTTTTCTGTTGTCATTGAATGTGTAGTTAAAATTTTTTTAATCTTTAGAGTATTTAAGACATCTTCCTGTAACTCACAAGATGATGACAGAGTTTCTTCATTGCTGCCCTCATTTCCTTGTTCCTGAATGTGTAGATGACCGGATTCAGAAAAGGAGTGAGCACTGCATCAAAGATAGCAAGAAATTTGTCCAAGTGTGATGAGGGGAAGGGCCAGGTATAGAAGAAGATTAATGGCCCAAAGAATAAAACCACCACAGTGACATGAGCTGACAAAGTAGAGAAGGCTTTGGATAACCCACCTGAAGAGTGTTTCCAAACTGTGACCAGAATGATGATATAAGAAATTATCAGTATAAAGAAGGAACCCACAGAGATAAGTCCACTATTGGCTGTGACCATGAACTCCAGTCTATTGGTCTCTGTGCAGGCAAGTTTAATGAGCTGTGGGAGGTCACAGTAAAAGCTGTCCAATACATTAGGTCCACAGAAGGGTAAGTCTACAACAAAAGCTAACTGGGCCACTGAGTGGATGAGGCCAAGGACCCAGGCTGCAGCCAAAATGAAAACGCACATTCGTGGGTTCATAATGGTCAGGTAGTGGAGAGGCTTACATATAGCAACATATCTGTCAAAGGCCATGGCAATGAGCAGCACCATTTCTGTGCCCCCAATAGCATGAATAAAGAAGATCTGAGATATACAACCCCCAAAAGAGATGGCTTTGCGTTTTCTGAAAAGGTCATAAATCATTTTGGGGGCTGCAATAGAGCAAACCCCCACATCGAGAAAGGAGAGGTTGGCCAGCAAGAAGTACATAGGAGAGTGCAAGTTAGGGTCAGTGCTCACAGAGAAGACAATGAGGAGGTTTCCCATTAGGCTTGCCATGTAGAACACAGAGGAAAAGAAGAAAAGAAGTAGCTGGATCTCCCATGAATTGGAGAGTCCCAGGAACACAAACTCAGATACCACAGATTGGTTGGCGCCATCCATTGCCTCTGCAAGCAGAGGTGACACTAATTTTACCTGGAAAAGAGAGTAAAAAGAAAATCAACTTTTGGAGTGTCACTGACTGCATCACTTTCATATCATAAAGAAAAAACGTTGCCTTCCTTCAAACAGCCAAAACATGTCTAATATAACCCTTAAAGTATAGTTACAGAATATAGGCAGTAACTCATTGCTACAAAGCACTGTTTCTAACTCCCTAGTCTTTTTTAAATTCCCTCCATTTTAATAAGAGAATATTAAGCAAAATCTTCTGCTGAATCAGAAAGGTTATGAGAGGCAGACTGGGAATGCCTAGAATAACATGAGAGAAGAAGGAAGAAATTGAAATGAACTCACTGATTTTTCCCTCACAGTTTGTTACTCCTGCCCATGGAGTCCCCCAAAACACAGGCAATTTCCGATGATCTTTATTTTCTTTACCCCTTTGATTACCTTCTGTATGCAATGCTATCAGTCTCATTACTAGTCTCTTATGTTTAGCCTCATGCTATTGCGTTTTATCGAATCATATTCATCTTTTCCTCCACGAGAGAAAAGATAATGTAGAAACCCTAGAGGTATCCAGCTGTTGTAGCACAGCTCAGGGAGTAGATGGAAGTGGTCACAGAGCTTGAGCTCTGAGAGCATATGATAAAGTAAGGACAAGCCAGGAGAGATTTTTCCTGCAGAATCTAAACATGGTTGCATTAAAGCAATGTGGCAAAAAAAAAAAAAAATCTATATGACTGGTATTTGTAGATCATTGTTCATGCCATGTTCACTTTTGATGGTTTGTGGAAGGGCAAAAAGAACACAGCACTTGGAATCAGAAGAGCTCTCATCAGATCCTAGCCCTAAGTCTATGAGAACTTAAATTTTTCTCCCATCCCTTCTACAACCTGACTTCCTTCTTGAACTCAGTTTCATCATCTGTAAAATAAAGGGGCTGAGGTGAGTGATGCTAGGTAACATTTCCAACTCTAACATTTCTATGAGTTTATAACACAGTGCCTCCTCAGTAATGAAATCCACCATAATGATGGTATTCTCTGCATTGGACTGCTACCATATTCACCATCTTTTCTCTTGTCTGCAGTTGGTTATAAGTCCCAGATCCTATAGAAATCCCTCTCCTCATATATCTTTCTTCTCTAATTCCTTTTGCACTACTCACATGACTCAATTACCATATTATTATAAATTTGCCATATGATTTATTTTGCCCTTTCTCATAATCATCTGTAATTAATTAACAAACATTTACTAGATGCCTGCTAAGCATAGTGCATTGTTATAGGACACTATGGACCTACTGAAATGTTAAAATATCCACTACCATTAAGGCTTTTATATTTTAGCACATACACAAAAATAGAAATAATATTTAAACATGTACTATATTTTAAAATGTCAAATAAGTAGTATGATCATAGAATTTGTGAAGCAAAAAAGATAACCCAGAGTGCCAGAGTGACCAGGGCTTTCTTCAGAAAGAAACCAAGACCTCTGTTGCACTTTAAATTATGGGTATAATTTATTTGGATATACAGCTTCATGGATGGACTTAAAGAATCTATGTAATACCTAAAATAATAAAGAAATATAATCAAGATAATATGTATAATTAAGAAATATCAGCACACCTGAGTGGCTCAATCAGTTAAATGTCCAGCTCTTGACCTCGGGTCAGGTCGTGATCTCACAGTTCATGAGATAGAGACCTGCATTGATAGCTCATGGTCTGCCTGGGATTCTCTCTCTCTCTCTCTCTTTCTCTCTCCTCTTCCTCCTCCCCCCTCCTCCTCCCCCACTTGAACATGATCTCTCGCTCTCTCTTTCTCTCTCTCTCTCTCAAAATAAATAAATAAACCTAAAAAAAGAACTATTTCCTAGGCTGGAGCAATGTTTGATGAGCTATTTATGGAAATAATGATAATCAAAATCAAAACAAAACAGTGACCACCATGTACAAAACACAATAAGTTCTTTAAATACATAATGTTTGATATCTACAAGACCCATAAAATTTGGTATTAGCTTCTTTTACAAAGAAGCAAATCCAAATCAAGAGAGGGAAAGCAACAGATTATAATAATAAGTGGTAGAACTAATATTGATTCTCTGATGTGCCTCTCAACCAGTATATAGAGAAGACATCTCTTTTCTCATGACTTTCTGATTGTATGAGACATCTCAGTCCCTTTCTGGATGCCCCATGTTGCACTGTCAGCATCCTAACCAGATCTAAGTGAGAGAGAGAATGAAGCTTTGTCCTCAAGTGTTCACAAGCATTTGGGTTTCTTAAACTACTTCAAATACATCTATATCCATCCAGGCTATTTAAATAACCATGGTAGGAGAAGGCAAATCTGTATGATACCTGCATCTCAGAGCATTCTGGTTGAGTTCCCAAACCAGTATTTTCTTAATCCACATGAACTCCTTTTGCTTCCCATTGAAGAGACTCAACTCTCACCACTCTCTAATTAATAGAGAAAACAAAGGGGCTCTGTCTCCATGTCAATGAATGAAATAAAGCCCAGAAGTCAGATATTATTCCCTCTTACAAAACTATCTCCTAGCCACTCAAAATCCCTTTTTCATTCTCAATCTTGGATAGCAATGGAAGGGAAAAAAGGTATTTCAGTTTCTGACTGCCTGTCCTTTCCTGCTCATGTGTATTGGTTCTTGCTCATTAAGCTCAACTGAAGCTGCTTCTGTTGTCCAAGATAACATATTATTGATCTCTATACAAAACAATCCTGTCACCAGAATCATCTATTCATACTGGCCTTTGGGGACTTACACATTCTACACCAGTATTCCTTAACTGTTTCTGGGTTTGTCACCCACCCACTCATTTAAAGACCTAACATGTGACTGTTTCCAAAGAGGTAAGCATATCCAACTTTCCCTGGTTGAAACTAGCATTATTTCATGTCCAGATAACTATAAAACTGTTATTATCTTATGAGATATGGCTAATTGGCACACAGGAGAATACTGACCAAATGACACCACAGTGACTTGGGATCACCAGTATGAGTTCATTTATTCAAGGGAATTGTTATTCAGAATCCTGGCCACCCATCATGCTATTAACGAGCCACCAAAGAGGATAAAGAGATTAAATAAATAAATAATAAATAAATAAATAAATAAGAAAACACAATTTTGTTTACTTAATTTGAAATATTTATTTCATACATAAGGTTAAAGAAGGGTCTCCAACAAACATGTGATTATATGCGGTCTTATATTTATATTAAAATCAACTCTGTCAAAGAACCTGACACTTAAAACAGGAAACTTCATAGAAATCCCTAGGAAAATGTGTGTGTGTGTGCATGTGTGTATGTGTGTGTGTTAATTATTTGTATATCTATTCTTCTGCTCTACAATCTAAAGTTACCATATCCATAACATGAAACTGTTTATCTGTAGATTCTATTACATGATCTACAACTTCATATTAAAAATACTTTTAAGTCAGAAAAAAACAATATTAGAGGCACCTGGGAGGCTCAGTCAGCTAAGCTTCTGACTTCCACTCAGGTCATAATCTCATGGTTGGTGAGTTCCAGCCACGCACCGGGCTCTGTGTGGACAGCTCAGAGCCTGGAGTCTGCTTCAGATTCTGTGACTCCCTTTCTCTGTCCCTTCCCCTGTCTCTCTCTTTCTCACTCTCTCAAAAACAAATAAACATTAAAATTTTTTAAATAATTGTAATTGTATAAGATTGGGGAGAATGTTCATCAATAGAAGAGTGGCTAAATAAACTGTGGAATATCTATATAATGGAATACTATGAAGCCATAAGAAAAGACTGGTACTAGGAACATTCCATCTGTAGGAAAACAATATCTCTTCAAATAGCAAGGTGCAGGATAGTGGGTTTAGTAGGAAACTACCAGCGTTTAAACAAAGGAAGAGGGAATGAGAGATAATACCTTATATTAGTACTTACAAGTGGATACAAAAGAAAAAGGTGAATTTTCTTAACTCTAGGAAGAGGAAGTAGCTATCTGAATAGCCCTATCTAATTTTTGGATATAAATTTCCTATTCAATAATTTAAAAAAAAATAAGAGGCGTTCCTGGGTGGCTCAGTTGGCTGTGCATCCAACTTCAGCTTGAGTCATGGTCTCACAGTTCGTGACTTCCAACCCCTTATCAGGCTCTGTGCTGATAGCTTGGAGCCTGGAGCCTGCTTCACATTCAGTGTCTCTCTCTTCTCTGCCCCACCCCCACTCTCTCTCAAAAATAAACATAAAAAAAAATTTAGGGGCACCTGGGTGGCTCAATCAGTTAAGTGTCCTACTTTGACTCAGGTCATGATCTCGTGGTTCACGAGTTCGAGTCCCACATTGGGCTCTGTGCTGACAGCTCAGAGCCTGAAGCCTGCTTCAGATTCTTTGTCTTCCTCTCTCTCTACTCCTCCCCCACTTGTGCTCTGTGTCTGTCTGTTAAAAATAAACATTTAAAAAAAGTTTTTTAATTTGCTTTAAAAAATAAGAAGAGAGAATACTTACTCCAAAGAGTTTATTTTATTAAATCATTCCCTCTGATCAGCTTTAGAGTCATTACTATTTGAATTTCACATTTCCTCTAAATCTCTAATAGATAGTTGAGGCTGGGAGGAGACCAGAAAAGTCTGTGAGATTTAAGAGTATAATTTTAAAGTGTGAAACACTTAGACAAATATATATATATATATATCCAAAAGGAAAGAATTAATAACACAAGAATGTCAATTTCCCTAGCTAAATCCCTAAATATAATGTGATTTCAATACAGATATCATCAAGCCTTTTTTCAGGAGTTATATAAATTGATTATCAATTTCATTTGAAAGACCAAATGAACAAGAATAGTTAGATAATCTTGAAAAGGGAAACCATGGGAAGGAGGAGGGGGAAGAACTCTCTAACAGGTATTAAAATATATTAAAAGCCTCTGTAAATAAAAACTATAGGAATAACAGATAGATTAATGGGACCAAAT